CCGACAAGAACTCTGTAACTGTTCCGACATAGATCGGTTAGTTTCTACAAGGGGTCGACAAGACTCTGTAAACTGTCCCGACATTGATTCCGGTTTAGTTTCTACATAGGGTTCCAGCAAGACTCCGTAAACTGTCACCACAACTGTTTCACAACATTTGTCTGCCATACAACGGTCCTACATGACCCCATAAACTGTCTTCTTAATCGGGTCTGGACACCGCCATCCAGTGCCTTTACACGTTATGACACCACATACAGTTGTCCTCACAACGTTATGACACCCCCCATACAGTGTCCTCTACACGTTATGAACCACCATCCAGTTTTGTTTCTTTCACCAATGTGATCATGGACACGACCCATACAGTGTCTCTCTATCTCTTTTATTTTTATGTATTTTTTGTTTTGTTACTCTCTCCAACTCAAGTTGGTTAGTTCCTATCCCATTGAGTTTGCGGGGGACTGTAAAAATCCACCTACTCTCCACTCTACTTCACCCACTTAAAGACCTACTCACTAAACCTAACCCACTACACCACTTACCACCTCACCTACTCCACTAAAACCTAACCCACTACACACTACCACCTCCACTTTCACCTACTCCACTACACACTACCACCTTCACCTACTCCACTAAACCTAACCCACTACACCACTACCACCTCCACTTCACCTACTCCTTACCTACTACACACTCACCCTCTTCTATATATAGGAATCATGAATCATTGTAATATATAACAACATATCAATATAAACATCAATCAATAATACAATTCTCTATTTCTCTTTATACATTAAATTTCTACAAATACTATGCATGACAAGCATTTCAAATCACCCATTGAGGCGATTCACCATCACTTCAGGAATCTACCTGCTGGCCAAAGTAGAGATTATTGCATAAGTAACCATGAAACGGTGCTTGTTAATAAACAGGCCATTTGGACTGAGGCATGCCAATCAATGATGGTGCCTATTATTTAAACAAACCAAGTAAAAGGATCGCTCATCCTCCAGGCTCCAGTCTAATGATAAACAATGAGCCTCCAATCTATCTATATGCCAATATGTTGGTCTCGAGGATTTGGTTATAAGACACAAATATCTGGTTTGGAAGCATCTCAAAGCTTTTCCTGGCTGTTTCTCAGCCATGCTGTCTCTCTCATCAGATTGCTTTAGTCATTACATTACACCAACTCAAACTCAACGAACCCTACCGACAATCTAGCAGACCAAAAATGCTGGGATGTCTATTAGCTTACCCATAATTATATAACCCAGCCAGCCAATGCACCCCAAATTCGGCACCCAAAAGTTCTCATATGAAATTCAACTAATACCATTGAATGACATAATATATAAAAACTCATGCCACACATGAAATTCCATTTCTGACATATATAGCTCATCCCAATGACATGAGAAAATAGCAAGAAAATAAGCTATGCTTATGGTAAGCATTCAAATCTTATGCAGTTGTCATTTCTACAACATGGAGCATTTCACACTAGTTCTACACAAACAAATTGATGGGCCAAAATGGCAAAAAGAAAATTAGGAAAAGAATGAAGGAATCAGCTCCCAACTAAGACAATGGCTTGTTAACAAAACTTGAGTAAAATAGTTTATTGAGAAGATGATTTAAAGAGTAAACAAACCTGAACGAGAGAAATATCCAATTCACTTGGGAAGGTACTGTGAACACGAGGGGATTCAGGTGAACTCATATCATGCACACTTTCCCCAGCATTTTCATTAGGAGACTGAGTAATTACACTCGAGTGTCTTTTCCTTTATACGAGAAGTTTGAGGTTCAGCAACTGGATAAAGGAACAGAAATTCCGGTCCGTTTTGAGGGAAGATCAAGGCGCTCAATCATTCATGCAGCACCAGCAATACCTGCATTCCTCTCACGTTGAACTCCTCTTCCCAATTCTCTGACTGAGATATTGTGGGCAAGTAGCTTCTCTTTAAATCCTCGGGTACTTTTTGAGATTGATTCCTTATATCTGTTGCACAAGAACCATACATCCAAGAATCAAAGAAATGAAACAAGCAAGCATCAGCTCCTAAAGAAACCAAACTATCCAAAAAAAATACCTGGCAGAAGCCACAGAAAATTTCGATTTAACAGACTCCGAGAAAGCAAGAAATTCAGTGGAGCTTGGTCTTTGTGGACTTTCAGGGCTGCAAAGGACTCTAAATAATTACCAAACATGTAGAAAGTCATAGAATCATGTATGTGTAAGAACAGTCCGAAGAAATAGGTTGCAACAAACTTCTACATTATCAAACTCCGTCATTCACGTGTAACATTCAAAAACTATTCATCGATTATAAGAAATGAGTTAAGAGTGTCTTGGTTTATTGAAATTAATTCATGAATATATATATATATATATATCAAAATACAAGGATCAACAGTTCTGGCAGGTACCAGGGTTTTATTGCAACCGTCTCTGTTGCTAACAAAGTTGGGTTCCACATTCACAACCTCTGGAACCACAGACCTTAGAGTGCTAAATGTTGGTGAATCACCCTCCGAAAACTCATAACTGGAAGTTTGGCATTCTTCTGGTGATGTTGTGCGCATATGCTGCACATCAGGTAGAGGTAGATCTCCAGGAGGAACAGAGAGCAGAACCAGCGGAGGACCAATACCAGAAGATCTCGGCCTTCCCCTTCTCTCAACATAACGAGCTCTGCGTGCTGCGGCGGCAAAATGCCTCATAATACACTCACCAAAATCTGAATCATCTCCATAAGAATTATCCTGAGAGACAATTTTTATTAGCAAGCTATTTAACATAACCAATTTCAAGGATAAGTAGATTCAAGTTAAACCATACAACTCACAATATTCATTTCATAGTCCTCATGGCGAGCATTGCGCCTTGACCTCAAATTTCTCTCATTCTCCACGGCAGCTAAAAGCTCTTGACTAAAGGTAGAAGAAAGAAAATTGGCAATAAATAATAACTTCATGAGACAATAAATAATACATACAATTTATTCTCTCTCTTTCTCTATACATTATTTCTAACATGGTATCAGAGCAGGTTTAGAACCTACTATTTTTGCTTCCCCGGCGGACGGCAACCTCACCTTAGCCGTCCGCCGGACCTCAACCTAGTCCGCCGGACCTCTACATATACCTTCACTCCGCTGCCACATTTCTTGCTGCTGGAGTTTTGTACTCATCCAAATTCATGATCATCTCCATTGCCTTGATGCTGATCGTGCCCTTTCTCTGCACACCAACAACATCGTCTGAATCTAAATCTGAAGGTGCTTTTATCAAGAAGACCATCTCTTCCCACTCCATCGTCATCTTCTCCAAGTCCTACTGCCCGTATTGTAAAAGGGCAAAAGCTGTCTTCAAAGAGTTGAACCAAACACCACATGTTATTGAGCTTGATCAGAGAGAAGATGGGTGGAACATTCAGGATGCCCTGAGTGAGATTGTTGGCAGGCGTACTGTACCACAGGTGTTCATTAATGGAAAACACATTGGAGGCTCAGATGATACTGTTGAAGCGTATGAGAGTGGAGAACTAGCAAAGCTTTTAGGTGTTTCTGCACAGTTTAAGGATGATCTTTAAGCCAAGAATCCAGTCTCCATGTGATTTATTCTCTTACTTCTGTATGCAATGGTCGGAATAATCATGTCGGCTCCAGCAACAAGAAAGGGCAGACTGCATTACCCTTTTCTCTCACCCATGTGACCCAACTTTTGTCCCCCTCTTTTCATTTCTTTATTTTTTTTTTCTTTTACTCACCCATGTGACCCACGATGTTCCCACCTACACTTTTTCTTTTCATTACACTCTTGTTCCCCACTTTCTTTATTATATATATATATATATATATATATATCTTTTTATTATATTATAT